TTCTTTTCTTTTCTTTTCTTTTCTTTTCTTTTCTTTTCTTTTCTTTTTGTAAATACAAATACTTATTTCTAACCATGAATCTAGAGAGTGTATCAAAGGAACATAACAGCAATTCAGGAAAATTTATCTGTGGAAGAGGTAAGATGTGATCCGTGCAAATTCAACAATTTTGTACGCGATGCCATTTTCTAAAAGCCATTGCAAAAATTGGCATTTCAAGTAATTTCTTATTGACAGCATATTGACTGAGATAATTCTGTTAAAAGCTGTATTTGAGCTAGAGGAAAAAATGTGAAATGTTTCAGGTGACTATCAGGAATTCAGAAGAAGATAGCAAATTCAATACAATCGAATGCAGAGAGGGCTAACCGCAGTAGCCTGCACAGTTCTGCTCTTGTAATAGCGAGCCAGCTGCTGGTGAGGCACATCAAACAGAGAAGCAACAGAAATGGCAAGAAGAAAATCTGAATTTTGAAAAATTAATTCCAGATCATTCCAGAGTCACTAGTTTCAGATTTTGTCGTTATTACTCTATCATCTGTTAAAAGGACAGATTTAAGAAACTGAAACCTGAGGCAGATTTCATTAGTAGCCTTCTGGCATGTCCTGGCAGAAGACAGAACTTGGAATTGATGCAACCCTCTGAAAAGACAGCCCTTTTAAAAAAATTCTGCAACATTTGAAAGGGAAAAATTTTCAGAATTGAGTCAAGCTTGAAAATTTTCAGTGTTCACTCCAATCAGAGAAAAAGAGTCTTTTATGCAAAGGAGTAGTACTTCTGCAAAGATCAGAACTGGAAGCTGGAGTGACCTCAGATGCTCTTCCATAAAAAAACATTTTCACTTTTTTCTTTATTGCTTTGATTACGAAATGACTCAGAAAGTATGTTAAACATTCAATTTTATTTGGGAATAATCATACTTTATAGCACTTCTGATGGACTAATCATCCACTAAATATTAATTAATTGTGTTAGATATGTCAAAAAAAAGTTTTAAAAAAAAAAAAGCTGCTTAGGACATGGGTTTTCCCGTACCCTAATAATTTTCAGCAGATACATGTGAGGCCGTACGTCTGTCATATATGCTTTCATGTTTGTTACAGTAAGTTTAACTTCTTCATTAAATTTCAGATGGGTGCACTACAGTTTCTCCTTGCTTTCTTTTCTCTTTTTGGAAATGACACCTTATTTTAAAACCTGAACCATCTACAGGGACTTATCCCTAAATAGCCACTTCTTCCAGCCAACAGGTAACACTTCACACACCCCTGTGATCTCATTAAACACCTCTGCACAGTCTCACTACATTCAGGAAAGGTCTGAAAGGATAAACATGATAGAACTCATTAAAAACAAACAAACAAAACAAAACAAAAACCCACAAACAACTTATATATCAGAATGTATGAAGCAATCAATCAATAATTAATATAAACTGGAAATCACTGTTATGCACGTTACAATTTTAATTGTTATCTTGCTCTACCTCATTACGTTTAATGTATTTATACAAAAGGCTTTAATCACTGGGGTTACTGTGCTTTTATCTCGTGACTAAATCTGTACTTTACACTTCTAAGCCAGTGTGCTAAGCCTTGTAAGTCTCTGCAGAGCAGCAGTAATTAAGACTAGGATTGCAACAGTACTTAAAAATATCTATGCAGGGGAAGAAAATAGTTAACTCTTGAAATGAGCTCTGATCCAAAAGGTGTAATGATGTTCTTTTTCTGTAACAGACTGAAGAAACTGGAACTATCCTGAACACACACACAGCATGAGGGAAGGGTTATGACTTTGAAACCCAGTTCCAAAATTCATGGCTCAGTACCATGTCTATCACTTGGAGTTTTGTACAGCTAACAAACATGTAATTGGCAGTTAGACTTCCCTCTTCCCACAGAAAAATAGAAAAGCAAAATGTATTGCAACCTCCAATTACAGGATATTAATCATGAGATCATTTAAAACTTCCTGCAGAAAGCTACCTTTGGGCCAATTAGTAAATTTTATTCTGCATTTGGAGAAACTGACTGAAGCTCCAGTGCCATTTAGTATGTTATTTCACAGGCAAGTGATTGTCCTAGGCAATTAAACACCTGCAATACAGAGCTTGATGCTTCATCACCAAATGCCTTTTTCGCTGAACAAACAACATGGTGAAAAATGAAAAGCAGAAGTGTTTCTCCACTAAGAAGCAGTTTACTATCTTTTTGTGCTTGTGTGTGTTTTTTTCATTTTTAACAACCTTTTCTTCCACAAGTTGTTAATGCTGTGAATGAAGTATTGACCAGTGTTTCAATAAAATGCCAATTTTCTAGTCAGCTGTACAAATTACTTTACATTTTTTTACTGCAATGTAGTTGCTCTCAGTTGTATTGGAAATCTTCACAGGGGAGAGAAAATGATGTTCCCCTTGCAGAAGAAACACTCTAGAAAGAGATTAAGGATAAGAACACTAAAAATCAGAGTAGGCACAAGGTCTGGCACTGCTGTCATCCTCCAAATATTCTTCTGTGGGTGGCACGATACTCAGGGGAATTTTCCAGAAACTTAGTGCTAGATGATACGCATAAATGCTGACTGAAATGCCAGGAAATTCTAGAGGTATTTGATATAGTCTGTGTAGCTACACCAGACTCTGGATTGGGTGCTTACTAGCAGTATAATCATACCGCTTTGAAAAATTCACAGCTAGAAATACAAGTGTGTCTAGCCTGGAAAACAAGACAGACAGAAGACTGGAGAAGAATTAGGGAAAAGCAATGGCCTCATCTGACAAGGCTTCTGACAATGAGGCATTCTCTAAGAGTCTGAATATTGACCCAAAAACCTCAGCACTGGCTGGCTGTATGCTCAGGAACGTGTGGCTCTCCTTGATCAGAGTCCATAGATTCAGATTTTGACTTGAAGTCACACTCCTGCAGTTTATAGAAAAAAATTGTCCATTTCCTCACCCATCTGTGTTTCTAGGGTGTAATCCAGGCTCTGCTGATTTCCTGCCAGATC